GATGGGAGTGTCAGAGACAGTGCGATTGGCACAGGACAGAGCGGAGTTTAGGGCTGTTGTACATAGGGTCGCTATGAGTCGCAAGCAACTCGACGGCACATAACAACAACACTGCCAAAGTATTGATTGTGGATCCTCAATTTTATCATTTTTTGGCTTAACAGTTGGTGTGTATATTTGAATAACAGCTGTTATTAAGCCTTTCTTGTATGTTTAAGGACAGTATCCTGTAACAACACTGTACTTCAGTACAGATCTTAAAATATTCCTCTGACAGCATCGTATCATTCCTCTTCATTATCTTTTCCAGCTTAACAGATCATATAATTCAAAATGGCCAGCACACCAGTCCATCTCAGCTCACTAATGTCTAAGACTGTCAACCTTATGTGTTCCATTTCATATTTGACAACTTTCAATTTTCCTAGTTTCATAATGTCTACATTCTATGTACCAATTATTAATGAAAGTTTGCAGCTGTTTCTCATTTTTTAGTACCTTCTAATCTGAAGGATTCCTCTTCCAGTACTAAATCTAAGAATGTTCCTCAATTATTCATGATTTTGAAGGCCTGTTATTTAAGTTGATGGTCTTCCTTCTCTTGGGTATGCCTCAATCAATTCTAGCTGAGGGCAAATAACTAAGCAAACTGCCTTTCATATACACCTTGATTTTTTTTTCTTTTAAATTTTAAAAGATGATGTTTGTTGTTAAGTGTCGTCAAGTCGGAGACGACTTATAGAGACCCTATGAATGCAAGACCTGAGCACTGTTGATAAGAGTTTCCAGAGGCAAGCATACCTGCTTCCAAGCTTGTTTTAGTCAGAAGCTCCACCAAACACTATCTACCATGGGTAACCAATGTCGCATTTGGCACATCAGTGTCACAGTGTTTAGCATCACAGTAACCATGAGATACCTCTGTACACCAATGCAGACCAGTGCTATACCACTTAGAAGAATGTTTGACAAAAAAAAAAAAAAATTTAAACCAGGCTTGAGGGCCGCAGATTAAAATCATCCACTTTGGGTAGGGAGGAAAATACGCGTCAATGAATAAATTAAAATCCAACTTTTCTATAAACGTTAGTTAACATCACAATAAAAAGGAAAGACTTACTAAGTAATCTTGCACAAGTTTCTGAATCTTTCTAACCCTCATCTTTAAAAGGAGATAATACTTAAGACTGATAAGGGCTATTTAAACATCTTATAAGGTGATGGTGGCTGTAAGGTGCCTTTAAGTCATGTATGACTCATAGCAACCCTATGAACAACAGATCTGAACCCTGTCCTGTTCTGTGCCATCAATACCATCTCTGATCCACTGGAGCCCTTTACTGGAGTGACCAAGTCAATCCCCTGGTCTTTCTCACTTTCGACGTCCTTCCACTTTCCCAAGCATGATGTCCCTCTCCAATAAAGAGCCTCTCCTAGCAATATGTACAAAGTATGTCAGATGAGGATTTATCATCTTTGCATCTAAGGAGCACTCTGGCTCTACCTTCTCTAAGACATGTTTGTTCTTTTGGCAGTTCAAAAGCATCAATAATTCTTCTGTCTTTGCCAGAGTTCAAAGTCATCAATTCTTCTGTCATCCTTCCTCACTGTCCAGGTCTAAGCAGCATAGCAAGTGATTGCAAAGACCATGGTCTCAATTCAGGTGTACCTGGTTTTCATATTAACATCACTGTTCCTTAATAATTTGGAGAGCTCCCGGACTACAGACTTTCCCAGTACAATACTTCTTCTACCTTGCTGACACTAAGTGTAATGCTTGTGAATCCAAGTAAGATGAAGTTTTGTTGGTTTGTTTGTTGGTTTTTTTTGTGATTTTAACTTCACAGAAAAGTTGAATTTTCATTAATTCATGGTTGCACACTTTCCTTTCTAACCCCTCAGTTCACCTGAAAAACAACAAACATTCATCATTGCATAATTTCCTTTCTCCCCCCACACCTCCCCCAGTTCACTTTGCTATACAACTCTCATTCTTGACTGTTGACATACAAATAATACCTAATTATATATTCCTTTAAAACAGTTCTTTCCTTCATCTGTTCCAATGCAGTGTTATCCCCTTTTTTCTTAGTTCCCTCCAACTGCCATGTCAGTCCTGTTTTAACAGCAGTGTTGCACAGTATTTATCCTTTTGTGACTGAGATATTTCACTCAGCATAATATCCTCCAAGCTCCCCCATGGTGTAGAGTATTTTATTAGGTGTTTTCAGTGCTGTGTAGCATTCCATTGTGTGAATATACTATAGTTTTTCTATCCATTTGTTTGTTATTGTTCTGTGTTTTGTTTTGTTTTTTTTTCCTGGGAACAAACATTTGGTAATACCATCTCAGACAAGAGTCTCATAATGAAAGTCTGAAGAATACTCCTGGGCTTCCACAAGAAAAAGACTGATAACCCAATTACAAAATGGGAAAAAGGCATGGGAAGAATTTTCACAGAGGAAAATATTTGAATGGCAAACAGACACATGAAGAGCTGCCCTAAATCACTAGCAATAAGAGAGATGCAAATCAAAACCACAATGAGGTACCTTATCACTCCAGTAACGGTGGCAAAGTTTAACAGATGGCAGCAAGTAATAAATGTTGGGGAGGATGTGGCGAGAAAGAAACTCTGATACATTGCTGGCAGGATTGCAAAATGGTACAACCACTCTGGAAAGGAGTTTGGCACTTCCTCAAAAAGCTGAACACACAAATTCCGTATGACCCCGCTTTTCCATTGCTTGAAATCTGAGAAAATGAGAACTGAAGCACAAATGGAGACTTGTACACCAATGTTCACAGCAGCATTCTTCACCATCTATCCATTTGTTGATGGGCACTTGGGTTACTTCCATCTCTTTGCTACTGTGAGTAATGCAGCAATAAGTATGCATACCATCTGTTTGGGGGAAATGCCTGGTTTCTCTAGGGCATGTTCCTAGCAATGAAATTGCTGGGTCAAACAGCATTTCTATTTTCAACTTTCTGAGAAATCACCGGATTGCTTTCCATAGTGGTTGTATCCTAAAATGAAGTTTTGACCATTTCAATCTTTCCTCCTTCTATCATGATATTGCCTTTCAGACCAAGGGTGAGAATTTTTGTTTTATGTTGAGATGCAATCCACTGAAACCTTTATCTTAGTCTTTGATCTTCTGCAGCAAGTGCTTCAAGTCCTCCTCACTATGAGCAAGCAAGGTTATGTCATTACCATAATTAAGGTTAGTAAGTCTTTTTGTTTTCTATTTTTTATTGATTACATTGCGTGTTTTCTCCCTATCCACCCATTCCCCAGCCCACCCTACAATGCATCCCTTGTTCCAGATTGTCATACATACAATGCCTAATCATATATTCCTTTTACACAGTTCTTCCCCTCATCTGTTCTAATGCAGTATTCATTACCTATCCACTCTTTTCCCATTCTCTCAATACAAACTCACCCCTATCTGTCCTATTTCATAATAGTGTAATACAGTGACTGAGATATTTCATTCAACACAATGTCCTCCAGGCTCCCCCATAATGTTGTTTTATTCATCCGTAATCTCGTTTCTTAATATACTTAAAAAAAATTTATTATTAATTTCTATGAAAATTTACAGAGACTTTGGATTTCCATTCATTCATTGTTGTACTTTTCTCTCCTCCTAACCCTCCCCCCAACATACTTTTTTTTTAAAAAAGAGCTGTTTTGGTGTACAGAAACACTGCATAAAATACAGAGTTCCCATATAATTCCTCTCCTTCCTGTGTAACTCTTTTAAGGATCTAAAACCTTCATATTCAGTAAAGTCTGACTTTACATTACACAGGTTTTATTTACTAGAAATTTGAAAATCATTTAATCTTCAATGCCAGACTATCATAAAGTTTGATAGTCTAAAATGATATACACAACACCAGCTGCATACTTCTAATCATAGAAGAATAAAGCTTTAGGTCACTAGTCGTCTTTCTTTGGATCACTAAGCAGTATCTAATTGATATGAAGTATATTTGGGAAATAACATGTATCTTACCACGGTTTTCTCAGAAACTCTAAAACTTCTCATACCTGCAAGTTTTGTGTTCAGTATTTCTTCATACTCTTCTCGAATTTTCTCTTCACGTTCTTTCAACAAACGTTCACAAATCATCCCAACCTGCCGTAGAGTGAATAAAGGCTGTTCTTTTTTTAATGGTGAAGATGTTGCAGATGAAGTCCCTATTTATAATGACAAAAATTATAGCAAGTGATTTAGAACTATCATAGAAAGCATCTTTTACTGAGATTTTTCTTTTTCATGCTCACATAAATTTTCTACCTGTTTGCACCACAGCATTTCCTAAGTAGTCTTAAAACATTTAAATTATTAATTCTGTCATCTTAAGATTGCAATAAAAAGATGAAAATTTTTAAACAGTCCAAAGATAAGTAGCGAAATTTACAAATTCTGACCACAGAATGTAAAGATTACAATGATGGTTCCAGGATACAAGTACCTATCTTCATGTGGCAAATACTACTGAGAATAACCTAAAACAGAATACATCCTTTGGACCCAGCACCATGCACCAGGAGCCACTTAGATCCAGAAGAGAAAACATTAAACACAGCATGAAATAACATAAGACAGTGACAGCAATAATTCTGCTGACTATGAGCAAGAGTTAAATGTGTTTAGGCAAAAAGCTTCCTAGCAGACTTAGGTGACTTTAGGCACTTGGTTGTGGAGCCAAAATAACACCTATAAACCTTATCCAAGCCTGGCAGAGGCCAAAAGAGCCAAGAAGAACCTGAAACTATCTTTGTTGGAAGGCATCTGATGGATGAAGTTATGTTCCCAGAGTTGTAGTCTGTGACTTCCCTCAAAAACCAAATAATATGCAATGTTGTGAATTAGCTGTTGGTGGTCATTGCAGTCAAGTATTTAACTCAGCAGACTTTAAGAAAAAAAAATTAAGACTAGAAATCATAGCATTTATACCAAGCTGGAAAATTATATACAGGTTTGCACTATTATATGTATGTTGTATCCTAAATTAGGAGGGAAAAGAGAAGTTTAAAAGACTAAAGACAACTTGGATTATACATTTCCCACACTGTAGAGCATTTCCTTCTATTTCCCATAGTAGGTAACACGAAGTTTATTATTACCTGGTGAAGCTGGCCCGCTGAGGAGAAATGCATGTGGTTGTGCATCAGAAGTACAACAAGGATCTGTCTGTTGAAAACTAGTTTCTAAATGTCTTCTTTTCTGCATGCGTTTATACTCTTGTTTTATATTGTACAGAATTTGCTCTACAAAGGGGGGGAGAAAAGTTAAAATCTGGCAGGATAAAGACATTCAAGATTAATCAGATTTCATGTATTTATAAAATTACTTATTCTCTTCAAATATCCAGAAAACTGACAATCTGGGAAGATACTACCCCCACCCCCCGCCCCCAGCATGAATAGGAGCATTTATTCCTAAACAGCACATAACACACCACCTGAAATCCAAATCCAACTATTCAATACCACTCTCGCTGCACAGTGGCCAGGGGAAAAAACGGATTTTCATACAAAATAAAGGTTAGAGAAGAGAATCTTCCTGAAGAGCTAGCTCCCAACTCAAATCTTACTCATACACTAGAATCTAGGAATACTTTCAAAAGCCCACAGGTAATTAGATAAGACTATCTGTGCATACCAATGAAACGTTACAGTGAGTCTACCCAAATCAACAGAAGCTTAAAAAAAATACATACACACAAACCCCAAATAAATGATCATTACCGTTACTGTTGAAGACAGTAGAATTTGAGCATATTATAGCATTTACAGTGACACATGGTTCTGAATCTTAAGAGCAGAGAGAGGCACATGTAAAAATACTGGTACTTAACAGGCACTCATAAAGAAGAAAGATTGCACTACTGAATCAAAACCACTGCCTTCAAGTTGACTGTGACTCACAGGGCCTCAGAGATGAGAACATGTTGTAAAAGATCCAATGGGATACACATTTATGTAAGTTATGAATATAAACACTAATGATCAAAGAACAGATGAGTTGCGGAATGACATCAAGGGTATCATCCAAGAAGAAAGGTCATTATAAAGAGGAGGAAGAAAAGACCAAAATGGTTGTCAGAAGAGACTGAAAATTGCATTAGAGCATTGAGAAGCCAAAACAAAGTGAAAAGATGAAAAGATGATTTTAAAGAGCAGCTCAAGAAAACAAACTATGATGATTAAAATGGGCAAAGAGTTTGAGTCAGGGGAAAAAACCCCAAACGGGGAACTTGCTCAGTATTTCAGAAGCTAAAAGAACTCGAAAACAAATTCAAGCCTATACTTGAAATACTAAAGTAAGGGTGGGGCAAAATCTTGAAGTAACATTATGAATGATCAAGAGTCAATGCTAATAAAGGATAGCATTCAAGCATCACTAAAAGCACTGGCAAAAAATAAGGTCCCAAGAATTAAGGGAATACAAAATTATATGTTCCCAAGGACAGAAGCAGTCCTGGACATACTCATTAGGCTAGGCTAAGAAATGTGAAAGACAGGTAACCAATTGACTGAAAGAAATTCATGTTTCAATAACCAATAAAGGTGATCCAACAGAATGTAGACATTATCAAACCATATCATTAATATCACATGCAAGCAAAATTAAGATTACTGAAAAGCAGCTAAGATTTAACACACACTCCTAAGTGGCTGTAGCACCAAAGCTACATTACTAATGTCAAATGAATCTTGAACACCAAAAGGCTATGTTTTATTGACTTAGCAAAGGTATTTCATCACATGGATTATAACAAACATTAAGAATGAAAATACTAGAAAACTAATTGGGGTCACATGAAACTTACCTAGACCAAGAGGCTGGTGGGTAAACATGGTAAAGGAACAATGGCATAAAATCAAACAACTATGTGTAAGAGCTATTTCCCTTCTATCAATTCAATCTGCATGACAAACAAATCATGTGAGAAGCTGGACTGTATGAGGAATATGACATCATGATCAGAGGAACACTCATAAATAGCTTGGATTATGGAAATGACATTACCTTGCTTGCCAAAAATGAGGAGGTCTTAAAATGCTTGCTGCAGAAGATTAAAGATCACTAGGCCACATGATGGCCACAAGATTACTGTCAATGAGTTCATCTTCCTTGAATCCACAATCAACACCACTTACCAACAATCAGGAAATCAAAAGATGTGTTGCACTGGGAAAATGCACTGTTAAGGACCTCTGCAAAATGCTCAAGAGTAGCAAGATGTCAGGTCAGTTCAAAGACCAAGGTGGTGCACATGGGCCAAACCATGGATTTCTCCATTACTTGCTATGCATCTGAAAACTGGACAATGAATAAGGATGAAAGAATAATGGATGTCTTGTGGTAATGGAGAGGAGTACTGACTGCCAAAGTAACAAGCAAACATCTCTTTGGATAAAGTACAAACAGGATGCTCCTTATATATGGAAGTAGGGTGAAACTTCCTCTCACACACTTTGGGCCAGTTCTTGGAAAAAGACATTATGTATGGAAAATGGAAGGGTTTACTTGAGAGAGGAAGACTTCCAAAGAGGATGGACTGGTACAGTGACTATAACAAGGTTCAAATATATAAGAAATGGGGATGGAACAGGATTGGGTAGGGTTCTGATCTGTTGATCATTATGAGCTGTAGTCAACCTGATGGCACAACTACTGTTTGTATAAAGTTTCTTAAGGGAAATAAAATGTCTAGTGTTGAGCCACTACAAAGCACTGGTGGCTTAGTCCATAGGGAGCTGTGCTGCTAACCCAAAGGCCACAGTTCACTGGCAATATGACTTACAACAGTGGGCCCATGGGAGAAAAATGGGTCATTTCCTCCCATTCAATTTACACACTTAGAAACCTAATGGAGGATCAGCTATGAGTGGGTTCTGAATCAACACAGTACGAGACTGAGCTATAAGTGTACCTTTATATAAGTGGGCTTTCTCAAATTCACAAACTCAAACTCACTGCTGTGGAATCAATTCCAACACATGGCAACTTTCCTTTGGCTTTCTTAAGCTATTACGAAATCTTAACAGGAGGAAATGATCCCTTTTTCTCCTTCAGAACTACTGGTGGTTTTGAACCACCATGTAAGTGGGTTTTGGGTAAGCAGGGCAACAACTAGCTACGGGCTATGCCACCAATGCTCCCAAAGAGTCACAAAAACAAGTGCAGCATTCTATACTGACCTGAGCAGGAACAAATAACTTTTGTTTTATATTAACAGAACTCTTTTCCTTATCAAGAATAAACCACAAAACCAGAATAACCTAATCTTGTTAAGTGCTTTTTATGTGACTTACACATACTATTTTATCACCACACATCTGTTTCTCAGTTTTCTTTGGCCTTTTGCTTTTAAAAACAACCAAAAAGGGAGTGCTGGTGGCCTCGTGCCAAGAAGCTGCACAGCAATTCCAGAGGTGCGTGGTTCATATCCACCAGAAGCTCTGCTGGAGAAGGAAGAACAATCTCCTCCTGTACCAGTCAGATCCAATTTGACGGTACACACAAAAAAAATAATTTTAAAAAATAAAAAAAAAAAGCACAACTGAGATATAGAGAGTATATATAAACACAACCTGATGATCTGATAGTTTCAATGTATAAACCAGAACTGTTGCTATATACCGTTGAGTCAGGTCTGACCTATAGCTGACCCTCCAGTGGGTTTTCAGAGGCAGTCAACTGCAAAGGTGGAGACTGTCCAACCGTCTCTTCTGGAGCAGCTGGTGGATTCAAAACTGCATGCCTTTGGGAGTTCAGTGCATCTTCTTGCCAGTAGGCCACCAGAGCCCCCCAAATCCAAAACAGGAATAGGATATATATAATCTGACAACTAATAAGCTAAAGCATTTTAAGAAAGAATTATTTGTAAGTAGCAACATCTACCAACTCTAGAGGTACAAACAAGTTTTAACAAGTACATTTAATTCCTGGAACCACCATAACCATAATACAGAACTTATGATCACCTAAAAAGCTGGTTTTTTGCAGTTTTCTGTGATGATACAGTTTTGCTTGTCACAGAAATTCATAAAAATTAAATTTAAAAAATACCATTTGGTTGACTCATTTCACTCAGCAAAATACTTTTGTGTTTCATCATGACACTACATAAAATTCCTTCTTACCTGATGAGCTGCATCTACAGCCATCCCACCCTGAACATGCTTTATTTGATGAATTTATTTATTTATTTCATTGTACCTATATACTGCAATTTGTTTATCCAATTCTAGATTATATCTAATTTGGGTGCTACTATGAATAAAGCTGTTATGAATATTTAGGTGCAACTCTTTGGGTGGCATTTTAATTTCTCTTGGGGAGACACATGATTTTACTTTGTAAGAAACTTTCAAACTTCCCAGAGTGGCTATACCAGTTTGCTTTCTGACCAGAAATGTATGAGACACCTAGATGCCTCCTATCATTGCCAATACTTGATACTGTCAGCTAAAGTATTTTGAATGTTGCCTGCACTGCTTTTTACATCCAGTATGATGCAACTATGTCATCTAAGCTTCACTGTGCCCTCAAAGGCTCTAATACTTGTAACATGTGATCAACAATGTAAAAGATCCAATTTAAACTGCCAGGACCTCAGCAACACAGGAAGAAAGCAATCTGCTAGCTATAAACTCAATTTCAGTTTAGAGGTATTAGGTTGTAAAGGTTTTAATTTAAAAAAATTCCCCAAATCAATTATTTTTCAACCCACATTTCCAAGCATAATGTAGGTAATTTGGTTATGTAAGCATTTATTAACAGTTTAGAAAGAGGCATTTTATATCTATTGATAAAATGTGTTTAGGTCTATTTACTAATAAACTACTGAAAGTCACTAAACTAACCAGTAACAACATGCTACTCCAAGTACAAGTAAAATCTGACACTATGCTAACACCAGATAATCCATTAAAACGAAAATTAATGATATGAAACAAAATGTGTAAAAATCCAATATGCTTTGTAAGCTTTCGTTCAAATCAATTAAAAAATAAAAAAAACCCACAAAAGTAAAAGTTCACTTGTATACTTTAATTTTCTATTCTTCCTAGACTTAAAAGAATGGCAACCATCCAGAACATATTTTACATTTATATTTATAATAAATGGCAATCTAGTTTACTTTAAAATCCTAAAAACATGTATTTCTATTTCCTTTGTACCATGAAACACAGCTAAGACTGACTTTTCACTACTATACTAGATTTAGAGAATATATTCAAAGAGTCATGGCATT